GGCACCAGGACCTTGGTGAGGAATGTAATTTCCTTTATCACATTGTTTCTAGGCAAAAACAAATTCAACCTACATCATTTTTACCTGCAGTGCCTTTTCCAGGAAAATAACCCAAGATCAATTTGAGGCTTCCCTGCAGCTGCACACATCTCTGCCACCTGCAATGTCCTCCCACCTTTCTGGTTCTCTGTGCTCCAATGTGGGTCCTGAGAGCTCCCTAAAGGCAGGGCCCAGGGAGACCCAGGTTTGCGAGGCTCGCTTAAGAAAAAGAACTCAAAATCACAAATACAAAATTAGGTCCAATGGTGGTACTTCTTTCAAACTAGAAAGGTCATGACAATTTACATGCACCTTAGAAATTCAGATCCCTTTCTCCTGACATCTCTCCATTCAGTTTACCAGAAATGCTGACATGAAACTGCTTCCTGTTTGCAAAATGGCCTCCTCTCCCACCTAGGACACTCTGCAATTCCTCGCTGTCATAACCAGCGCTTCCCTTGCCCCCCAGAGTGAGCAACACTAAAGGTTAAACTTTATCAGCTGCCGTGTCCCTGCCTCTGGCAGGAATCTCCTTCTCCTCTTGTCTCCAGTAGCGAGAGCCCAGAGCTCTGCATTTGCCAAACCCAGGCAGGGAGAAGTCAGAGAGTAAGGCGCTCTCCGGGCCAGCTGATCACAAAGCAAGTTTCATTCAATTGTGTGATTCAGAATCACCTAGAAAGTGTGTCCCATCGGGATCTGCGCGTTTCCTCACATGCCCTAGATATTGCTGGCGCCTGGGAATGCTGCTCTAAGGCTGCTCTCTACCTGCGTGGGTCACTGGTGGGACAACAGTGCACTTGACTCCAAAGGCCCAACCAGCCTTTCCTGATGGGGGCCAGGCAGAGGCTACATCCAGCGGCGGAAATTTCAAGAAGGAAGTCATGCCACAGCCCCAGCCTCCTTCCTCTGACTTAGCTCATCTCCAGGCATGAGGAGGAGTCCTCCTCTCTTCCTGCTCGCACAAATCACTCAGCACCTGACCCTCCTTGCAGAGCGAGTGGCGCTGAGCAGAGGAGCATTTGCAGGGGCATGTAATCCCAGCATCCTTCTCCAGAGGCACCCTGGTGTCCAGCCTTTCTGGCAGGAAGTTAGGCAAGGCTAAACCTAGAGATTGAGCAAGAAGGTGAAAGATCGGTAATGGGACCATTAAATCTTCTGGGTAGTTATTTCAGAGCTTCCAAAGAACTGAATTGAGTCCCCATCTTTTCCCAGTAAAATATCTTGTGCAGAAGGGCAGCCATGGGGCCAGGGGAAAGGGAGGGAGGGGAAGAGGAGAGGAGAGGAGAGGAGGGCAGGGGAGGGGAGGGGAGGGGAGGAGAGGGGAGGGAAAGGGGGGAAGGGAGAGAAGAAGACAGGAGAGGAAGGGAGGGGAGGGGAAAGGAGGGGAGGGGGAGAGAAGAGAAGAGGAGGGAGGGGAGGGGACGGGAGGGGAGGGGAGGGGAGGGGAAGGGAAGGGAGGGGAGGGGAGGGAAGGGGAGGGAAGGGAGAGGAAAGGAGGGGAGGGAGAGGAGGAGAGGGAAGGGAGAGGAAAGGAGGGGAGGGGAGGGGTGGGGAGGGGAGGGAAGGGGAGGGGAGGGGAGGGGAAACAAGAGGAGGGGGGATGCACTACCATTTACTGAGATGCTGGAAGCACCAGACACCAGGCTCACTGTCGGATGCGCATAATCCCTGTTACTTCTCACACCAGCCCTGCGCGTGTGAACATGTACCCATGTTGCCACCCCTCTTAAAGTAGCGCTGCAGAGGAGTGGCTCCGTGCTTGGACTCTGCAGATGCCCTGGGTTCAGATCTCAGCTCTATCATGTACCGGCACGTAAACGCTAAGCCTCATTTTTCTCCTATGCTGGGCATCCTTGGGCTGGAATTTTCAATGAACCAATGCATAAATTGCTTGGCATCATGCCTTACACGCAGTAAGTAGTCAACAAGTATTAACTGCTATTACTTGAATTAATATTTTTACAAAGGAAAGACTAGAACTCAGAGAAGTTAAGCACGTTTCCTGCAGCAACACAAAATAAGTGTTAAGCAAATTTTCCAATTTCTGTCTCTAAAGTCAACACTCTTTCCTCAGTTACATTGTGTTTTGTTTTTTTTTTTTTTTTTTTTTTTGCAGAAGAGCTGGGGTACAGGCCAGAGGTGCAAGGGGTGAGCAGATTTACCAGAGACAGAGTGGGGAGCAGAACAGGCGGATCTACTGAAATCCACTGCTGAGGGGAGCAGGGGGCAAGACAGGAGAGGTCTGCTGCACCATGTGGGTAACTCCCTGGCCAGGATCAGTTCCAACTCAGGCTGTGGCAGTGATAGCACTGAGACTTAACCCCTAGGCTGCCAGAGAGGCCCCAATCATGTTAGTTTATAAAAAGTTTGGAATTGAGAAAAGAGCAGGTTCCCCCCATTCTGTCCCCACCAGCAATGCCATTCCCTTCTCCCTCACTAGTACCTGGCTCACGGGCCCAGCCATTCAGGATCAGCCACTTGGCAAATTACTTGCTCTCACCCACTTATTCTTCAATATTGAGATGTCAAGTATCTATAATAGCGCATTAGTCCTGAGGCTGAGCAGGACAGTCCTAGCCCTCCAGAAGCTCACCCTCTGGGTGGGAGCGAAGACACTGCAGGCATGTGTGCCCAGTATTGGGAGGCCGGGACATGGGAGCTGGCAAGACTGGTAATGTGTCTTCGTGCTCATGACCGGTCTGTTTACGGTGACAGTGGCCCTTAGGACGGTGAGGGGGCTTCACGGAATTGACAGGGGACACAAACGTTCACACTTATAAGCTTGGAGTCAAGTTTTAATCCCTTTCACTCAAAGTTCTGCCATGTCTTTTTCTTTTAAAGATTTATTTTATTCATACAAGAGCTGGGGTACAGGCCAGAGGCCCAGGAGGGTGAGAGGATTCACCAGAGACAGAGCGGGGAGAAGAACAGGCTGACAGACTGAAAACACTGCTGAAGGGAGCAGGAGGCAAGAGAGGCGAGGTCTGCCATGCCATGTGGGTATCTCCCTGGCCAGCCGGGAATCAAATCCATTCTGCAGAGGCTTTGGCAGCTTCATAGCACGGCACTCAATCTGTGCGCTGCTGGGGAGGCCCCTGCCAAGTCTTTTTTGCAGAGACCCATTACATCTACTCCCCATTCTCACTGCTCTCCTTGTGCCTCCATCAGGCCCTCACTGCCTTGTCTTCCAGCCTCTTTCACTCCTCTTTCACTTGTGCACTGGGCCGCAGCTTAACTGCCTGTCCTGGCAATTCAGGCTCTTCATCAGCTGCGTCCACACTGCATGCCCAGTATGGTGTCTGAAAAAGGCACTGTGGGTTCCAAGAGGGTTCAGATTTGGCTGTAAATCTTCAATACTCTGGGCCTCCATTCTCCTATCTGCTAAATGGGACAAGCGTCAACTCACAGGACAAAATGAGAAAGAGGTGAAAAGACCTGGCATCTAATAGTAACTGGATAAATTCTCTCCCTGGCCCCCTACCCACCAGACAGCCCATTTTACTCTGCTGGTCTCCACTTTCCTGCCTTTGCTGGGCCCTGTTTTCTCTGCCAGTTCAAACCTTACCCCTCCATCTGAGCTCAGCTTGAAGCTCAACTCCCCCATAAAACCTTCCATGAATAACCCTAGCCCATAATGGCTTTTCTTTCTGTATTTCTATGGCACTTCTATTGCCTTGAAATGTTAAAATGTGTTTCATATAGTTCCAACTAGTCCCTCTAAGCTCCTTGAGGCCATTATGCCCCCCAGCATGGGTGGAAGGTGGGGGTGGTTAGGAGGTATAGTGGGAACTTAATACATGCTTACTGAATACAAGGAGGTGAGAACCCCCTCTGTGCATACAGAACACACAGACCTTTAAGCTGACTTTATAAAAGCTTCCAGGCATGGAGTTACCACTGGCTGTGCCCTTGGAAAAGACAGAGCCAGAATGCTGTGTCTGTGTTCTATCCAGAGCGTGGCTTACAGGAGGCACTGACTCAAGTCCTGATGAAGGAAGACAGATATGTGCCACCTCTGGTAGGACTGCCCAGACCCTCGCCCACTCCCCCATGGCTGGTTCCACAGGTTCTGGTCAAGACCCAGCCACAGGGTGTGGCCTGTCATGGAGCTGGGCTCCTTGCTCCATTCTGAGTGGCCCAGGCTTAAGGACCCACTGAGAAATGGGCCATAGGCCTTTGCTCCAGCCGGAGACCCATTTTCCTAAGTCCTGACTGGTGGCAGTGACCAGCCTTTCTAAGCCACCAGGTGGTAACCCGGCACCCCCGTTCAGTGCAGATCAGCTCCTGCTCTCCTTTCCCAGTGCCCCTAATGCCTAACTGCAGGGTGGGATTCCCCCAAATCCAAGCCCCTGAGTGGGCCTGCCAGTTCCTGCTTAACACCTATGTAGCTTGACATCCTATGTTAAGGGCCAGAATGGGGCCTTCTAGAATGCCAGCGCTGCCCAGATAAGGCAAAATTCGGGAAGGGCTTGAGAACTCAGGGAGGGTCTACTTCATGATGAAAGGTGCCTGGCCCTGTGGACAATTCTCACCCACCCGCTGCATTCCCGAGTCCACGGTTAACTTTGGGAGAGGAGCAGCACGCAGAGCAGAAATGTGGTCTCAGACACATGTCTTCCCTGTGAGCTGCACCTGCCCTCTGAAAGCCATTGAATTTCCCATCAGTCCTCCTGAGGGCCTGTGCCGGAGGGTGAGAAGCAGTATCGGAAAAGCCAGCCCCTTCTCTCACACCCAGGTGCAGTGACCCCTTCTTGCAGCCAAGCCTTGAGCACAAGGCACAAGAACACCACGGGTCCCAGATCCTCGAGCTCTAGCATCTGGCCCCACCCAACTCCTCCCTCGGGGTGTGTATGTGTTTTGGAAGAGGGGGCCTTGGTCACTCAAGAGTTAAAATGGCAGCGGGACCGGAGGGGGGTGGCGTGGCAGGCAGACGGGGAGGAGGCGCCCGGAGTGGGCTGGGGAGGTTGGGAGAGCGTTGGAGCAGCGAGTGAGCAGGGCGAGCGCGGAGCCAGGAGGAGGGGCGCGCGAGGGGGCGCGGGGCGCCGCGAGGGCCTGCTCCGTGCACTTGCACACCAGCAGCGCGCAGAGGGATCGCCCCGCTGGCCCGCCAGCCCCGGGCCACCACGCGCAAGAGAGGCGCAGAGCCCGGGGCGCTGGGGGCGCAGGCGGGGGTGGGGAGATTGTTATTCTGCCATCGCCCTCCCCGCCTCTGCCCCAGAACCACTCCCAGGAAAACTCCACGGCTGGGAAGACGCCCCCGAACCGCCCCGGCCTGTGCAGGCGGCGGTGCGCGGAGGGCGGGCGCGGACCACCTCCCCCAACCCGACCCGGGCTGAAGCCGAGAGGTGCGCCGCGGCGCGGGCGGCAGACGGCGGCCCCGGGAGCCCGGACGGCGCCCGCGGGGTGAGTGTGCGGCTCCGGGCTGACCCCTCGGCTGCGCTGGGGCTTGGGGGCTCCGAGGTCGCTGGCGTGGCTGCGGGGGACACAGCCCCGCTGCTCTCCAGAGCCGAGCGGGGGCGGGGGGAGGGCCGGGCCGCGGGCGGCCGCCGCGATGCCTGCAGCGGAGCTGGGGACTGGGGAGGGAGGCGGCCGCGAGGGAGAGGGAAGGCGGGCTGGCGAAGCGAAAGAAGGTTGCCGGCTGCGCGCTCCGGACGGGGCGCCGGGGAGGGGGCGTCGGGTCCTCATCCACCGAGAGGCCTGAGCCACCCAAACTGTTGCTGGGTAGAGATGTCGAGGAGCGGAGCGGCGGCAGAGAGGTTAGGGAGGGCGTGACTGGGGCGGGCTCGGGGGGTGGAAGCGCTCCTGCGCCTCGGGGACTTCCCCTTCCCTGGAGCTCAGGTGTCCGCGCCGGGGTGGAGGGACGCGGTGGCCTTGGTGTCTATCCGAAGTCTCTGCAGCCAGGAGTCAGGCCCCTGGTGGGCTGGCGGCCTGGGATGGGACCTTTGGGGTGGGGGATGGGAGGGCCCTGGGCCCTGGGAGTGGGAAGCAGAATCCTCGGGCGGGCGAGCTCTGGCCCACCGCAGCCCCCTAGACACCAGAGGGGTTGACCAGCCACAGGTGGTCCGTCTGTCCTGCAGGCGAAGGGCGGTGCAGACTAGACGCCCAGGTTCGAAGAGCTACTGGGTGAGGGGCACTGGGCTGCTTTAGAGCTGAGCTGAGACGCTAAGGAGGTGTGGAGACCTGGCCCCTGGGGGTGGGCCTAGGGGTGTTTCTATGCTCCCCCTCTCTTCCTGTTCTTCCTCCCCCTCCAAGCGAACAGGAAGGAAAATGTCAGCCTGGCTTTGTGCTCTGTTCTCAGGCTGCCGCAGCTCCCATCTGTTGGAGCCAACGCAGCTTCTAATTGGGCAGCGGGCAGGGTCGGGAAGGGTGGGCTGGGCACAGCACTCAGTTGCCAGAGATGGACTGAACAGACCTTCTGCTTAAAGACCCCAGGATGTGGGATAGTAGAGTGGTCAGGGGGTGGCTTCCTGCCAGCTTGCTCACCTCCTCCCAGAGATCCTCCATGCACACAGGTCCCCAGCAGCACCCCCTCCCTTCCCTGCCTGCCTGGAACCGGCTCTGGCCCAGCGTCTTCTTCTTGAATGACAAGACTAGGATCTCCTCCCACTGCCCACTGCTCTTTAAAGGCCCCTCCAAAAAAGAGCACTGGACATGGAGCCGGCAGGGCTGTGTGCAGGCCACTGGTGTCCCTTTGCTTGCAGGCCTTATTGTTATGAGAAAAAAGTCACATGTGGGTGACCTGACCCATTTCCTGGCTGGCCAGCTGCCCTTGTGGGGAGATGATGGGCCGAGAAGGGCACAACTAGGGGCCCCAGCCTTGCAGGCCCTCTCCATCTCCTGGGCTGGCTCTCTCCAAGGCTCCTCCTTCCTGCCTGGGACTGGATAGAAGCTCTTTATTTGGAAAGATTGGAACTACAGCCTCTGTACCTCAGGGGCTGGCAGACACCTGGAATCCAGGAGCACCCCCAAACCCACAACCTCCCCCAGCGTGGCCTGGCCCAAAGGAAACACCCAGTGGCCACGGAACTCAGGTCTGCAGAGCCATTTCCACCCAGGCTGATACAGCAGGTTTCCTCTCTAACTCTGCACAGTTCCACCCCACTCCCCATTCTTTTTTCCTGTGCCTCCCTCGTCCTCCACTTCTCTTTCTCCTTCACTCTTTCCTCCAGAAGAATCTCCTAAGCTCCCTTTTCCCTCACTCACGCTGCCCTCCCCCTTCCTCCTCCCACCTCTGCCCCCCTTCCCGCCTGTAAACCTGCAGCTGAAGCCACGAGCCAGTTCTGTGCTCGCACTCCTGAGCCTCTTGAAGGTGGGAACACACGCTCCAGTGGCTCTGCTGCATCCCCTTTGCAGAGGAGGAGCCCAGGCTGGCAGGCCTGGCAGCACAGGTCCCTGGCGCGTCTCCTGGACCCTGCCATTTGCCCCACCTGCCTCCACTGATCTTATTTTTTTATTTGGAAGGAAAAAGAAAACCTACTGGTTTTCTGCAAAATTCATTCATTCACCAATTTACTGAACACTTACTATGTGCCTTACACTATTTTAAGAGCTGAGGACACAGCAGTCACACAACCCTCCATGCTTTGGAGCTGAACTGAACTTGTATGTGGACCTCCCAGTTGATTAGTTGTGTGCCTACTGGGTTCTTTCAGAGACCGGCTGCTGGGGCGTTGGGGGGGGGGCGGTGAACAACGTTAGTTCATCACGGATGACCCCAACAACTGACAGCATCCCGGGGACTGCTCTGACGTGAGCAGAGTACATATTTCGCCATTTATCTGCGACAGCTGAGGAGAAGGCAAGTGCTTTTAGACAAAGGAGGGAGAAAATAGCAAATGTATTATTGACCCCCTACTAACGAAGTAGTAGCTTTATACAAAGGACCTCATTCAATCCTGACAACCTTCGAAGGTTGGAATTCTCATCCCCTGCTTGAGATCTGAGGATATGGAGCACCAGATAGGGTAAGCCATTGGCCCAGGTCACATAACTCTCCATTTTGAAATCACTAATTAGCTGCAGTTCATTTGGGCCCCATGATACTGTGACATCTGGTAGCTTCTACAGTCATCTGAAGATGACATTTTAACTGACTTTTTGAAGAGCATGCCCAGTCTCTTCAGAATATTAGAACACGTAGGGATTTACTGAATGATGGCATGAGTAAGCTTTCTCAAGTGATCAGGGAAGGCTGCCTGGAGGAATTTGTATATGGAGTCGGGAGCCTGGGAGAGTAGACAGGGAGGCTGGTCCTGCACAGACCTGTGACAAGCTAGGCAGGCAGCCACCCCACCTCCACCCCGCATCCAGGTAGAGTGGATAGGAATCTGTTTCCATTCAGGGTCAGGGTGTAGGAGCTTGGTCCACAGCCAGTCTAATGAGTCAGTGTCACTGCTGTTCTCATCCTCTGGACTCTATAAAAGCCCGAAGGAAAGAATGGAGGCGGGGCCTTGAGTCTGCAAGAACTACCGGGAAGGACACGGACAATAGACAAGGCTGGATGGGACAAGAAAGGGGACGTGCCCTAGAAACAGAAGGGGAGGGGGACAATGGCAGGAGATAAACTGAGAAACAAAAGCCAGAAGGCAAGAGGTCTGCAAACAAATGAGGACACAACCGGACAGAGAGCTGCATGGTGGGATTGCTAACTAAGAGAGGGCAAATAAGGAGGATGCCTTTCTTATTCTTCCCTGAAGGTCTTGGGCTGCTCAGAGGGTCTACTGCTCAGAGGCTGGAATATTCTCCAAGTTAGCCATGGGCAGCCACATGCTTACTCAGTCAGCCCATCTTTTCTAAACCCCCGCTTGGCCCTATGTTAGGAGCTAAGGACAAGGAGACAAAGGAGGGGTCGCCCCCACCTCCAGGAGTTCACAGTAAGAGTGTAGATTCTGGAGCCACACATGGGTCCAATCTAGGCTCCACCACTTCTAGCTGGGTGACATTGTGACCTAGTGAAGTTGTGTAACCTTTCTGTGCCTCAGTTTCCCCATCTGTAAATGGGGTAATAATAGTATTCACGGAGTTGTTACCAGGGCTAAGTGAATTAATACATTCAAGGCGCTGAGCGCGGTCCTGGCCTATAGTGAGGGCCTTGCAGACACCGCTGTCCCTGGTCCCTCAGTAACGGGGGGTCATTTGCACGCTGAGACAGGTGCTGTAATCCAGGGATGAGCCAGTAAAGAGGTGACTGTCTGCAGGTTAGGACAGGAATTGCAAAGGGCATATTTGGGCAAGCTCAGAAAGGCATCTGCCAGGCAGAGGTGTTGGGCCCAGGGGTGCTGGTGCTGAGGGTGCCCATGGCATAGGAATCACGTGTGCGAAGGTGTCGGCTTGTGGAAGTGTCTTCTGTGTGTGTGAGGAGCCCTGAGGACAACATTTCTAAACCTATGAGAGTGGGGGCCCAGGCAAGGGTGGGCTCAGCCCCGCGCTGGCAGGGGTGTGTCTCACAGGCTCATGTGCTTGGGAAGAGCAAGTATGTTGTTCATGTTTACAAACACCTCACAAGGCAGATCTGGAAAAAACACCTCAGACTTTTCGTTTCCAATGCTCAGAGCTGAGCTTCCAGTGGGGCTGGCAGGTCATCAAGAACAGCCTAGGGGGGAGCTGGTGCGTCCCTGCTGGGACCAGTTGAGTGACCTGCCTCCTAAATATTCCAGGCCACATCAAGCCATCTCTGCTCCAGACCCAGGGTGCTGTGGCCCTGGGCCTCTGGTTTCTTGCCCTCCCTGGGGACACCTTGATCTGAGAGAGCTGCCATTAGGAGCTGAGCTTAGCCAGGTGCGGTGTAGAATAGTGTCTCTCTCTGCATATTTCTTCCACCCTGCTGCTCAGCACTCGACGGGCTTGAAGCAGGCACAAAGGCGCAGAGCAGGCCCAGGTTCCTGGGGTGATACCTCTCTCCACGCCCACCCTCACGTTGTCACAGTGCTGGGTATAGAGACTGGCATTTACTGAGCTCTTGCTGTGTGCCAAGAACTGTGCCAGTGCTTCACCTGCATTATGCCATCAATCCTCAAAAATACGCCTCAGGTAGGGACTCTCAGATCTTTAACTTAAACACAAGAAACCAAGGGCGGGTCAGTCATTTGTTCAAGGGCACACAGCCAACAAAACCCTGGAGACACCTGCTCCTTACCCACCCCCAGATTCTAGTGAGCCTTTGGGCCTGGGGAGTGTTCTGGAGTCATCTGGCTCATTCCCCTTCCTCCCTGTGAGAGGAGGTCCTCCTGCCCTGTCCAGACCAGAGATAACCTGTCCCCTTGGGGGACCTTCGGAGAGGGTTCTCCCATCTTCCTCTGCACCCCAGGTCACAGCATTGTTTCTGCCAGCTCAGCTCAGTGCCTGGGGCCCACACAGCTGCGGCCTCAGAGAAGCTGGTCCCCTAGTAGCAGAGCCAGGGCCAC